CCCCAAAACCCCAAAACCCCAAAACCCCATTATAACGAAGACCGATTGACAATACTAGTAACCAACTAATTCATTATCTCCAATTAATTTTAAAAGATGCTGGGATCGAACCTCCAACTCCAAATCCTACACCTTCTTTTTGGAATAACTCTGGATCAACTTCGTAATCAATAAGAGTGAGAATGACTATAATAGCTACCTTCATCTCAAGAAGGGCAAAAGATTGGCCTGGACAAGCTCTGAACCCATGGGAGAAAGGTCTTGTAGAGAATCCAAGGCCAAATTTTCCTTCTTTCTCAGCTTGCTTATAGAACTCAGATTCATCATCATATCTTTCTGGCACAAAATCATGAGGATCTTTCCAATAATCTTCATTATAATGTCCAGTAGCGAGATCAACCTTGATAGGAAATCCTTTAGGAATAGGAACTCCTCATAACTCAACATCCTGACTCGCAGCGTAAACGAAGGACTCTGCTCCTGGCCCATCTATCCTAAGTCCTTCCTTTACTACACATGTGAGGTAGTCAAGCTCTTCTATCTTCTCTCTAGTCAATCCTTCGCTAAAGAGAGTCTCTTTGCTATAAGAATTATTAGAAATATGTGATGACGTATGTGATAAATTATCAAAATTGAGCTTGTCGGTCTAAACTAATCTAAACTATTTTTAAGAACTGGATAGCTCTGTATAAATGTGAGTTTGTAAAAGCTGATCTATACCTTATCCCAGCATCTTGGATCTCTTTCCTCAACTTCTCAAAACTCTCAGGATATTTCTTCATAAAAAACAGGGTCGACACTATTCCATGTGAAGAAGTTTCAGCTCCAGCGAAAATAAAAGTATTTAGGTCAAATATTTTCTCGCTTTCTGTAAGTTTCTGATTCTTCAAGATCTGCTTACAAATAGAGGTCTCATCCTTACAGTTTCTGTAGAGTTCCTTGATTCCTTCCATGAAGGTCAGGTAGTTCTCGTGGTCTCGCTTGAAGGGATTTACTATGTTCAAGTCTGCCACTTGCTTCATAGTTGCAGAAAGAGGGTGGAAGATTTGGATGAAGTAAGCTTTGAATACGTTAATCATGATATCTCTCAACGGAAGCATTGATGTAGTTCCATCAGTATTCTTGTATGGTCTTACTTTATTTGCAAGCCCAACCATATCTTCTCCGAACAAGACACTAGTAAAGATATTGAAAGTTAGAACATTTCAAATCTCAATGAAATCTTGTTTTTCTCCTTCTTTCAAAGGCTTGAGTACTTCAGCAGTGTATTTTACCATTGCTGGAATATGTCTTGAAGAACTATTGAGACTTAAAAAGCTTGTCAATAGCTTTCTCCTCATTATAGTTCTCTTAGTGCTTCTTTCAAGCAAGAATGTCCCTAAGCCAAGTCGTCCAAGTCCCCTACCAGTGTTAACTCTATCTATCTTAGTTGGAACAAGCTTAGCAAACTCCTCAATAGCCTTGTTCGAAAGGAGGAGAAGAATAGGATGATATCCTTCAAACTTCAGCCTAAGATCTTTGTCTTTTGTTTCTGGTGCTTTCCTTATTTTCTCATAGTAATGCACTTTTCCTTGCTTCAAGTCGTCTGTGATACCTTTAAGGTCTCCAAGTAGTGGTATAAACTTAGGAGTGGTATATACATTGCTGTATTTCTTGTATTTCCTCCAACAAATGTATGGGTACACAACCAGAGTGTATGTCAAGTAAAGAACATAAGCGAGAGCGAAGATGAAAACTCACTTAAAACTGGATATTAAAATTTGAAACATATTTTTATCGTGCTTAGCTCCCAATATTACAGAGGTTATCAGGGGTTTTGGGGTTTTGGGGTTTTGGGGTTTTGGGG